GACAGAGAAAGAGAGAAAGAGAAGTCCAGAAGCAGAAAGAGGAAAAAAAAGGGAGAGAGAATCATAACAACAGAAGAAGAAAGAGAAAAAGTGGACAAAAAGAGAGAGAGGGAAAGCTAATAACAAAGAGAGAAATAGAGAGAGAAAAAGAGAGGGAGAGAAAGGGAATGAGGGAAGGAGAAAAGAGGGAGAGAGAATCATAAAGAGAGAAAGAGAAAAAGAGAAGGAGAGAAAGGGAAGGAGAGAAAGAGACAGATACAGTAAAGAGAAAAAGCTCTTAGAAGGAGAGAACGAGTAAGATGGAGAGGGAATCATAAAGATATATAGATAAAGATAAAAAATAAGGAGAGAAAGGGACAGATAATGAGGGAGAGAGAATCATAAAGAGAGACAGAGAAAGATAAAAAGAAAAAGAGGGAAGCAGAAAGACGGAGAGTAAATCATAAAGAGAGACAGAGAAAGAGAAAAAGAGAAGGAGAAAAAGAGAAGGAAAGAAAGAGAAGGAGAGAAAGAGGGAAGGAGAAAGAGGGTCAGAGAATCATAAAGAGAGAAAGAAAAAGAGAAGAAGAGAAGGAGAGAAAGAACAGGAGAGGAAGAGAAAGAGGGAGAGAGAAAGAGGGAAAGAGAATTGGATGGAAAGAGAAAGAGGGGAAAGAGAAAGAGGGAAATAAAAAGAGGAAAAAAGAAAGAGAGATAGAGGAAAAGAGGGGAAGAGAAAGACGGAGAGAGAAGGAGGGAAGGACAAAGAGGGAAAGAGAAAGAGGGAGAGAGAAAGAGATAAAGAAAAAGAGAGAAAGAGAAGGCGGGTAAGAGGAAGAGGGACAGAGAAAGAGGGAAAGGTTTGAACGGATGGGGAGAAAGAAGAAGAGTGACCAGGATGGACGAGCTCATCCAGAGGAGGTCTCTGGGCTGAAACTAGTTTGCACTGCACATGTTTGCATTTGAGTCTGGAGCTTGCAATGTCTAAATTACCTGAGCTGCAGTTCTGATTTCCATTTTAGCATAGCTTGGAAGTCGGTCTCGCTTGCTCTTGATTTTGCAAAGTGGAAGCGAAACGTTTCCCTCGTTGTTGCTGAGGTCAACACCTTCTATGCGAATGCGCTCTTAGTACCTGCGCTTTTCAAACCTATGCCAGGCCTCGGTTTTTCTGTTCGAAGCCTTGAGTGGGCCGAGCTGAGCACCTGCAAGGCCTGCTGTCTGATTCGCTTCGATTGAGGGGCATTGGCAGGCGGCCAGTTTTGGTGTGAGCCTAAATGCTGCTGAGAGTAACCTTTTTCCCGAGAGCGCCTGAGTGAAGGGTTCTCTTTAAAAAAAAGCACAAAGATGATCTTCATCATGATCAACATGATCATGATCATCATATCATCATCATCATCATCATCATCATCATCTTCTTCTTCTTTCTTTCCATACGCTCATCGAGTGATGACAGCGTGGATGCATTGATCCGTCTGGGCCCCGTAGGGCCGGCCAGCGCAGCTAGCTCTGCTAGCTACTGAAGGTGCGGTCCAGCAGTTTGGCCAGCGTGTCTCTGGCTCGAACTGGCTGGCTAGACCTCAAAGCCAGATGCAAAAGGCCAAATTGGCGAAGGCATGGACACGGGTGGTCCTCAGTCAGGTCAGTGCCATGGAATGGCTGGCAGGCACACCATCTCGTCGGGTGGGCCTTCGTGATGAAGTCCGCCGCACACTTCTCAGCCAAGGGGATGGATGCTTCCCACAAGGCAAAGTCCTGGGTCCACTAAGATTCCAGCATCCAGGCAGTCAATTGCCTGCAGCCATTTGTTGTGCCAGTCCTCGTTGATGGAAGGGTCATGGATGATGTCGTTCAGCTTCTCTTCATCCGTCAGGATGGGCGATTCCTCAGCCATCAAAAAGACCTGTTCTGCACCACCGTGTGGCATGCAGTTGAGCCACAGGAGATAGCAGTTCTCCTGTACCACCAATGGCACCTTTGAGAACTTCTCCGGCTTGTTGCCGTCGTCGAAGATCCACCAAAACTCACCCTCGAGGACGGCAGTGCAGTAGTGACCACTCGTTGGCTCAGAGCCCAAGTGGTAGGAGACCGCTGTGACCTGGTAGGGGATGTGGTCGATGCACAGCTTGGTGTCCGTGAAAAAGGGAATCCACGACCCCTCGAGTCGAAGCGGTCGATGTGAAGACATGTGACATCTGCCGGTTCAGTCAGGCCGTGGAGCCATGCTCCAGCTTGAAATCAATCCTTGCAAGTCAGTAGGCAGCGTGATATTCTTTTGTTCACTGCAGATGTATAGGTGCAAGGGGCGCCATAGGGCGCTCTGATCCACCACACGGATCTCTCCGTCCTGCTCCACCCGGGATTCCCAACAACAGCTGAGGAAATTGGGGTTCAGCTGCTGAAGAAGGTGGTGAGCAAAATCAGTCACATCATGTTGTCTAAATGGCTCCGGCCAGTTGGACAAAAAGGTGGTCCATTGCCCATCAGACCACTCTTCAGCAGTTTTTCTAGCAAGGATTCCAGTGCCAGGATCCTCAATGGGCGTGTCCTCCACCAAGGCACTGCGACATCACGGACGTAATTCGCCACACGGTCTGCCCACACACTAGAAGCAATCCTATCACACGATACCGCCAATCATCCCGCTCACCAGCGACACGCCGTGTTTACGCCAGCATGTTTCGCGCTCCCCAGTGGCACGGCGCCACGCAAACGCATTTTCCACCAAGGCCGCGCAAATCCGCATGGCACTGCGACATCACGGACCACGGGCGTAATTCGCCACACGGTCTGCCCACACACTAGAAGCAATCCTATCGCATGATACCGCCAATCATCCCGCTCACCAGCGACACGCCGCGTTTACGCCATCGTGTTTAGCGGACTTCCCACCAAGGCCGTGCAAATCCGCATGGCGCTGCGACATCGCGGACGTAATTCGCCACACGGTCTGCCCACACACTAGAAGCAATCCTATCACACGATACCGCCAATCATCCCGCTCCCCAGCGACGCGCCGCGTTTACGCCAGCATGTTTCTCGCTCCCCAGTGGCACGGCGCCGCGCAAACGTATCCCACCAAGGCCGCGCAATCCGCGTGGCACTGCGACATCACGGACGTATTTCGCCGCACGGTCTGCCCACGCACTAGAAGCATCCTATCGCATGATACCGCCAATCATCCCGCTCACCAGCGACGCGCCGCGTTTACGCCAGCGTGTTTCGCGCTCCCCAGTGGCACGGCGCCACGCAAACGCACTTTCCACCAAGGCCGCGCAAATCCGCATGGCGC